AGGAGGGCGGCCCAGTGCCGTAAAATTCGGCCGCTCTCCTCCCTCTCTCCTCCGCCGGCGCTGCCGGCCGGAGTGGGAAAGGGTGGAGAGTGTGTCCACTGTAGATTTAGTAGGTTTTGGTGTTGGTTTCTGTGCTTGAATAAACCGGATCTGGCTTCAATCCCTCTTCTCCTTGCAAACTTTGTGGTGGCCATGGTGGACGACACAAATATTGCTGGCGAGGAGAGATGGTCAGGGTTCGAGGCCCTTGTCACGGGCTATTCTTCTGGCGAGCCAGGTCGGCCTCCTGACCTGGAGGATCTCTCTCTGCTCATCCTCTGCTCTCCAGGCCGCCATGGTGGTGGGAAAATAGGAGTTGATGAGTGGTTCTCGGGATCAGATCTTTGGGAATGGAGTTCTTTACCGGTGGTTTCTGTGATGAAGCTACGGCGCCTGCTAAGGCAGCCGGTCTTCGCCTCACCGTCGGCTCTTCTTGCCGAAGGGCTGCGTATTTCTTCCTCCCGGCCAAGCTGCCAAAAGGGAGGCAGTGCTTCGACATCCCAGTGTCCATGGCTTCTTCTGCGGCTCAGGAATTTTTTTTTTTGAGGGGTTTCTCCGGCTCAGATGTGCTGCTGATGTAAGCACTATGGAGGCTGCAAAGGCCCAAGTGGTTCGTCCCCCCGCGCCGGTGTAGTTGGAGCTGTGGTGTCGATGCTTTTGGACCCAATTGTAATTCAGTTTTGCCGTTGAGGGTCCTCTATGTGAAAGTCAGGGACTGGCTCGTAGTTTTTGTTCTTTTTGAGTCCTCTTGTGCTCTTTGTCATGTATCCTTTTCCATTATAATAAAATGATCTGGGTTCCTGTTCAAAAAAAGAAAAAGAAAAGTGATTAACCTTCACTTTTGCAGCTTGTATAAGCTCTTCTGAATTCTATCTGGACCCTTTCAGTTTTGTCCAGTAGGATTTGTCTCTGTTCTTATGGTTATAAGCCTGAGTTACAGGAAGCTGCCTATAATACATTAATATATGTTTCCTTTTCTGTCGTATTGTTATTTATAAAACTTTACTTGCACGCAAAGTGTTCTACGGAGAAAGGACGATGATGGATCTTGCCTAGGATACCATTTTTTATCTGTATGTGTTGCCCACATTTTAGTGCTCAACTAGTGTGGTTACCTTAGCTGGACCTGTCAGCCACCACATGCATCACACCCTAATCCGAAGTTGTTAATTCTAAAGTCTGCTCTGCTTGGTCTTCTTAATTGCACCCGTACTTAACGTCTCCTCTTGCCCATAGGTGGGTCTAGTCTTATCTGATCTTCCTTCTCTTCTCTCTACTTAGGATGGTTATCCTACGATTCTTCTGTTTCCCGTAGCTTCTTAACGTTAAGCTAGTTGCATCTGTACGGATTTTCTAGATTTCTACTTCAGCTCTTATTTGTAGGATACTTTTCGGACGACGTACCACCCTTTGGTTTTATATTTTTATACGGCCCATTTGGTCATATATATGTTTACACTTTAAGATCTGGAAAACTTATGAAATATGACTTGTTGTTTTCTTTTGATCAAAACAAATACAGACAAGTAGCTTTATTTAACCAGTGATGACTCATGAATATAGGCTATTGGTCACATTGTTGGATGTCTGAACTGCGACTCATTTGATTGAGGTGTTTTCTCAAAATATAACCTGATAGCTTGCCTGCTCCTCTGGTAAATGACTATTCTTCTTATAGTAACCATCGAGGAGATGCATGGTGGTTTGAGCTCTTAAGACGTAAATCGCTCCAAGTGGAGCATCCCGAGTGAACATGATACTTTTTATCAAATTTTACTTGATTTGGAGAAGCATCACTAAACTATACTCCATATCTAGCTTGTCGACACCATGGTTAGAGTAGTATACAGGTTAGAGATAGACTAGGATTCTACTATTTCTCCCCCTCTGTGGACCACTTTATATACCCCATGAGGATCATGGCAAAACAACACGAAACACAAAACAATTAGGGTTCCATATTTTCTACATGGTATCAGAGCGTTTAGTCTCATGATGTCGATTCTAGACTTTCCACTACTTCCGCACCGCGCGCCGCCCCCAGGGAGATCCATCTCTTCTCCTCGGGGGCACGACACCCGGTTGAAATCAAACATTAGACCGGTTCTTTAGATCCTAGATTCAATTTAAAAAATCCAGTTCCATAGATTAGATCAAAATAGCCAAACAAATCCTAGATCATGACTTCACTATTAGAAAAATAGGGCTTTCGTCCAAACTCAATATACACATTAGTCCCGGTTGCATCACGAACCGGGACTAATGTGAGCATTAGTCCTAGTTCGAGTGGCTAAGGCGTCGGGAAGGCATTAGTCCCAGTTCATATGGGACTTTTAGTCCTGGTTTGAGACACGAACCGGGACTAAAGGGTGCGGTGCCTTTTAGTCCCGGTTCGTGTCACAAACGGAGACTAAAGGTTAGACCCGGTTCCTGTCTCAAACCGGGACTAAAGGTTCAAACTCTACCCCCCCCCCTTGTGTATCGCCTTTTCAATTTTGTAAAAAACAAAAGAAAATGATAAAAAACTTCAAAAATTAAAATCCTTCGAGATGTAGTTATGTTACTATATCTACTAGTTAGGAAAATTAAAAAACATAAATTTGGACATATCTTGCAAAAAAGTGTTATGGAAAAGTAAAACGGACATATCTTTTGCATACGATGTCGGAAAAACGCATAATATATCAAAACAATCAGCACGAAAATCCGCATCCGATTTTGACCGCTGTAGGCCTGTTTGCAATTTTTTTGAATCCTCAAATTCTGAAAGGAAAAAATGATATGCTCAAATTTTAGTTTTTTTTGAATTTTTGTTAAATCTGGTCAAACTGTGGTCAAACTATGGTCCAAATACTTATTCAAGAAATATTAGTGTTAATAAATAATTATTTTAGTTTTTTGAATTTTGGTCAAACTATGGTAAAATCTAGTCAAAATGTTGTCAAAATGTGCTCAAACTATGGTCAAACTACTTATTCAAGAAATATTAGTGTTACTAAATAATTATTTTACTTTTTGGAATTTTGATCAAATTATGGTCAAATCTGGTCAAACTATGGTCAAACTATGGTCAAATCTGGTCAAATTGTGGTCAAACTATGGTCAAACTACTTATTCAAGAAATATTAGTGTTACTAAATAATTATTGCTTTTTAGAATAATAATTTCAAACTCAAACAGTGAAACGTGTGACTTCATGCTCAAGCTAAACTCCTAAGGGTTAATAGGATTGACATCTTACTATTGTTAGAAAAACAACAAGTGCAGACTTGGAAATGAGGGGGAATAGAACCTGAAAGTTAAGCGTGCTCAGGCTGGAGTAGTGAGAGGATGGGTGACCGGCCAGGAAGTTAGACGATTTGAAATGAGTGGTTCATAATTAAGCAGTGAGCCGTAACGAGGGGTGATTAGAGATTAAATTATCAAATAATTCAGAAATTAGAAAATTAGAAAAAGAAATCAAAAAATTCAAAAAAAATTCAGAAAAACAAAATTTCAAAAAAAAAAAACCTTTAGTCCCGAGGTGGAGCTTCAGACAGCTGCTACGTGGAGCTCCTTTAGTTCCGGTTTGTAAGCAAACCGGGACTAAAGATTTGGGCTTTAGTCTCGACCCTTTAGTCCCGGTGGTTTCAGAACCAGGAGTAAAGGCCCTCTAGAACCGGGACTAATGGCCCATTTTCTACTAGTGCTCTCTTCTTGGGTGGAAATCAGAGCAAAATCATTGGGAAAGCTTCAATACCCGGCGACACACCACACACGGCCCAACAGCGCAGCACAAGCGAACTAGGAAACACATGGTAGTCATCAAGCGCACGAGCTTTGGAGTGCCGGCTGTGAAGATCCAATCTGCGCCAGATGTTAGACACATGAGCAGCAGCCCAACGCATATAATCCTAAGTTCTATATTTTCTACAACCATTACTAGTTTTGTCCCTACATTGCTAATTTAATTTTATAGACAACACGTATAAAAAATAGACAAAACTACCTATCTATACACCATGAATATCAATGCACAGATGAATTTAAGATTTAGGATTACGAGTGTCACTTGTGATTCGTTTTCTAGCTCAATTATTCTATCCACATTTTAATCTGTTTGCACTTGGAATAACAATACGAAGCGATGGTTTGATAAGTGTTAATATGCATCTGGAAAAGATATCCCAGTTTTCCCCATATTTTAGCGCTCCTTACCTAGCATCGTTACCCTGGATGTTACCTGTCAGCCATCACATTCATCTACCTCACAAGTTGTCAAGTTCTTAATCGCAAAGTCTACCCCTTTTGGTCTATATTCGGAAGTCAATGGATCACGGCGTGTACTTAACATCTCTTATTGCCCTCTTTTCATTTGTATACAACGACAGCCATCTCGTAGGTGGATCCAGTATGATCATCCTGTGCAGAAGCTGCTTGTGAATCCATTCTAAATTTTCTCCTCAGTTTGAATTTGATTGTGAGTCCAGACTCTGTTCAGAACCAATCTAGAGTTTAGAAAGTAGGAAAAGAATAATTGTCTCAGTTTAACAATCTTATTTTTTTATTAATAATTTGGTAGACATTTCAAGCAGTTCTCTTACATATCTTTGATGCAGGGATTGATCACATCGTTGCACATCAACATAGCAGTTCCAGTTTATAATTTGTGATCCATCTGAAGGACTAAGCATTGAGTAGGTACGTATATTCTTGATGGAAACTTGTAATGCTTGATTGTATCGCTGGTGAGAATATTGGGTTAGTGTAGTAACAAATCATGCTCATACTTAGAATAGTTTTACCATAAATATTAGTTGGCATAAAAGTTTTTGTATAGATAATTTTGTTTCACAATTGTCATGCTGCCCGGAAAATATTGTTCTGGTCTTTGTGTCAATTCTCCCTTGCAATTGTGCTCTACTAGGAGCATAATATTAATTCTACAATGTTCAAAGTGTAACTGATTGGATAACAGATAGATGGAACCCAATATTTTGGAGTGTATACTTGATGGAAGATTGAAACCGACAGATCTGCCATTAGGACTTCTGGAGAACATCACAGCGAATTTCTCTGAAGACCGACTAATTGGCTACGGTGGATTCGGGGCAGTTTATAAGGTAACATCTACTTCTAAAATATATTGATCATCTAATAGATCAAGTGTAGCAATGCAGGACTACACAATGGAATGCATTCTTTTCAATGCCCCATGATTTCAGTCTGGATGTTTCAGATAATTAGAAAGTCTACTCCCAAATTTCATATGTAATTGTCAATATATTCACAATGTACTTGTGAATTCTCGGCCAAACATACATCCATTTGCTTTTGTACAAACAAGGACCAAAATGTTAGCGCACCAGTTATTTTCTTTTGCACAAACACAATTAGACTTTTCTGACCTTAAATTATATGTTTAAATGTCATCCAACAATAATGTAGATATAGGAATTTTGAAGATTTCAGAAAACATGGAAAATATGCTTTTCCCCTGTGTGCACTTCCATTTTGACCTAACTATGTGAAGACTCACAGGTTTTTACTTGTTACATATGTGATATGTCTCTAGCATTAACACTTAAATTTGGTGGTTTAAATATTGCCAAATCAGATTCTTCGAAGGGGGGAGGGGGGGCTATAGTACCAATTCGATTCCTTGGATTGACACATTGTGTTGTGTTTGAAGTAAAAGCATCCGTGTATTAAGGGGGCAGTGTTCACCTCTCTAAGTTGGGGTAGAGAGCCTCAAATGTTACACTGGCATCTAAAGAATTGTGCATATTTGGGTGTGTCTACTTTGTAGTCTCTAAGTTGTGTTAGTTTGGGTACTACATATCTAGTTTTCTCCATCTTTTTATTGCACCATGCCATCAAATATTCGTACATCAGGGGTGAAATTGCTGTTAATGCTAACAACATAAGTTAAACAGGGCGTTCTTCCAAAGGGAAATGTTGTTGTGAAGAGGATTGAGAACAACTTAATCGAAGAGAAGGTATTTCGTCGTGAAATTGGCAGCCTATTGAATACAAGCCATCAAAATATAGAACGCATTCTTGGCTTCTGTGCTACCACAGAACATAAAGTGATAGAAGCTGAAGTATCAGGAGATTACATTTATGCTGAGATGAGAAAGAGATTACTCTGTTTTGAGTACATGAGCAATGGAAGCCTACAAAAATATATCACTGGTACGTCGCATGTGAAGTAGCTCCTCTCTTTGATTATTTATCTTCCTTTTTTTACAGTTCTAGTTTTGAGTCACTATCAACCACATATTACAAACTGCACAAATAGAGAGAGTCTGCAATTAGCACAAACAAATCAAATGTTGGAAGATTTGATACATCCCTGCTAGTCTTCTTATTTCTGCAGATGAACTAAGGGGACTTGAATGGAATACACGTTACCAAATTATAAGGGGAATCTGCGAAGGGTTACATTATCTGCATAAGGAAAAGTCTATATGTCATTTGGATCTGAAGCCGACCAACATACTACTAGATAATCATATGGTGCCCAAAATTAAGAACTTTGGCCTGTCAAGACTCGATGTAACACGTACCATGGTTATAGGCCATTTTGGATCACTGTGAGCTATACATCAAAAGAAATGATTGTTTTTTTGGCATTTACTCTCTTACGTTTTCTTCTACCATAATTCATCAATCTATCGATTTTATATGCAGAGGATATTGTGCTCCGGAATACCTAGATCATGGCATGGTGTCATTCAAATCAGATATGTTTAGTTTGGGCATTATAATCACCGAACTAGTGACGGGAGTGAAGGGTATCCCTGATAGTATTAACAAAGTAAGAACACACCTCACTATGAGATGGTCCCCATTTTAGAAATACCCTAAACTTCTGTCTTCAAATAATTTTATGATTTTCCGCACACTACTTGATTTTTGTGTTATGGTATTGTATGAAAAATCTAGGCAAGTAAGATTCTGGAAGAGAAAAATAACCATGTGATTGTCTGCACTCACATCTTTTCATTACACCAAAAAGTTAAGGAGTGAGATATTGCGATTCTATGTGATTAGTTATATGGCTATATTTTATTACGTATCAACCTACAGGCCTTTGCACGATCCTAATCATCCCGAACCTCATCCAACTTTTTTTGAGAGAGATGTGTGTGCAAGCAGGGTTTGTCATGCATGTCACCATCCCATCACTTGCCCATTATTGGGGGCACCCATGGGTTGTCTGATAAGATAAAATTGACGAGAGTGCGTCTTGAGATTTTGGTTGAACATTTCAGCTTATTCCATATCACCGAATTTGGAATGACAGGTACTTAGAAGATGGAGGCATAGATGGAACAAATCAGGGAATGAAACACCATTGGCTTACCAACAAGTAGCAAAATGCATGGAAATTGGGTTACTCTGCCGGGAAATTGACCCATCAAAACGGCCATCTATATCGGATCTGATACATGATATAAGAGAAATGGAAGGTGTTGACGGGACAATCAGCACTGCCTATGAATATACGTCTGAGGAGGTAAAGCTTGTATGCTCGCTGTATCCTTCCCTATTAATTACCTTTAGACAACCTGCTGTTTTCTAAAAAAAATTTGTCGAAATCTCTTCTTTATTATTTTGTCCTCACAGTCTTCTAATGTGGGTTTAATATTTACCATTCTATGATTGTGTTACAAAAATGAAATACTTTAAAATAATTAGATTTAGAAAGTTGATGATAGAAGGTTTAACAGTTTGATAGGAAAGCTTCTATCACGTGACTTGAAAACGAAAGAAAATGGTAGCAAGTATTTTGGCTGAGGCCAAACATTGTTAGGCAGGGAATATGTTTCTTCATGGACACATGGTATGAAATATATATTTAGATTGATCTTTTCCCACATATATTTCAGTCTATGTTATAAGGAATATGCATGACCTTGATATGCACAAACATATCTTATCTCCACAAAACACTTGGTTGAAGGAGCTTCACGTGTTATCTTTTTTCAATTTTGTAAATATGAACAGAGTTTCTTGCATAGGCAAAATATAGCTTATGAAATGGTAGGCGAGCAGTATATATTTTCATAGTAATGCATTTCTTGCTTTTTCTTCTTCTTGTAGTTAAGCCCTTACTCGGATGATCAAATGCTTGGTATTGAGCCGCTTGAGCTGCACTTTCCTTTTGAGCTTAACAAGCACATATTATGTTCATTTGAGTTAACCAATAAGAGGGGTGCATACATTGCCTTCAACATCCGAAATACGAGCTCCCTGAAATTCTTCATAGAGCCTAACAAAGGCATTATGCCGCCACAATCCAAGTGTAGTGTCGAGATAGTATTGCGAGCTCAGGAGAAGGCACCCCAATATATGCAACAAGCCTACGCATTCATCTTGCAGAGCACCAAAGTAGAAGATGGACTTGAAGCTGAGGATATAACCGCATACATGTTCAAAGAAACGTTACACAACGTGGTTGACGAGGTTAATTTGGATGTTGTATTTGACGCAAAAGAACTGCAAAGTGAGCTTCTTGACGCCCATAAGCTCGAGATCTCCTGCCCCTTTGAACTCAACAATAAGATCCCAATTGTTCTTACACTAGAACATTTGAAAACCATCACAGATAATTTCTCCACCAAGTTAGAACTCGGGAGGGGTGGGTACGGAGTGGTTTACAAGGTACGGTTATCATTATTTTGCCACTCCATTTTTCACATGCTAGACGCGTATATATGAAGAATAAAGGTTTAACTTACAAACACAGGGAGTTTATCCACGTGGAGGAATTGTTGCTGTGAAGAAGCTATTTGCTATACATCTAGTGAAAGATGACCAATTCCGGGATGAGGTCAGTCATCTTACGGGGATCAAGCACAGAAATGTTGTACAAACCTTAGGCTACTGCGCTGAAACAAGTTATGACCTGATACCACAACCAACGGGGAGACCTATTTGGGCTGAAACGCCGAAAAGGTTGATCTGCTTCGAGTATGTGCCCAACAAAAGCCTTGACAAGTATATATCTGGTACGGTTTACATATCCCCTATACATTTCACATATTTTATTTAACTTCATATTTTCCAATATCCACTTTTCTAGAACACAGCTCAAACTATATTGTCCTGGGCTGTCCTAAGGATGACCAGTTTATAGCTTCAAAGCATAGTAAATATCATCTCACCCAACCACGCGCAAGTCACATAAAATTATGGCAACACAACAAAATTATACCATTGGATTCTTATTTGAAAGAAGTATCCAACAGTGTATTTTTTGTGAAGAGTACCTCATATTTTGTTAGTCAAATTGATGGTCAAAGTTAGACTCAAAATTCGAGGGACCTTATATATTTGTAAGGAGTAATTGGCACTTGGAAGGAAATTATCTTTGACAATGAATTTTCTTACAATATTTCATAGAAGAGAGTTGCCAAGAGGCATATACAACGCCAAAAAAATTAAGTGCCACTAGACAGGTGTAGCACGTTGGGACCTGATGACCACAACTAGTGCTGCAAGTGAACTCTCAAAACAGTCACCACGGTCCTGCCCGGCGCCACAGTGTTCCACACTCCCTATCTTGTGACTCATTGTATGAACCGTAGGGTTAGCGCCATTCAAAACCATGTCAGATGTGTGCCACCAACATCTGTAGACAGGTTCCTAGACCCTAAGGGCGAGAACATGGCCATGCAGTGTTGCAGACTCAATCAAGATAAAGAGACTGTTCCATCCGAAAAATATCCGAGATTGTCCATTTCATTTTATTTTACAGTACTGCAAGTGTACAACTGAATCTTGTCCGAATTTGTTTTGTTCTGTTCATCGATTGCTGCAGATGAATGTCTGGGCCTTGAATGGAACTTGCGATACGAGATAATCAAAGGAATTTGCCAAGGTTTGCATTTTCTTCACGAGGAATGCCATATGGTTCATCTAGACCTTAAACCAGAAAACATATTGATGGACGCTGCTATGGTACCAAAGATTGCAGACTTTGGTTTGTCAAAGATCTTTGGGGACCAGCAATCACGCTTAATTATCCCTGACAAATCTCGTGCAGGGTCAGCGTAAGCTATACCTCTTGCAGCTTCATAGTTTTCTTTTTCCCTCAGCTGCTTTGTATCTCCCCTTTTTATGCCTACAATGTCTTTTTTTACCTTTTGTTGCAGCGGATATATGGCACCAGAGTACGTACTACACGGCATAGCCTCCATCAGAGCAGATATCTTCAGCTTAGGTGTTATAATCATACAAATAGTCACAGGTCATAAGGAATATCCTCTTAGTAGTGCATATTTCAAGCTCTTCAATGACAACCATTGTCCCCAAAGTACTGAAACTTCTTTCCAGGATTACACAGAGAGAGTAAGATGAATTAGTCCCCCCCCCCCACCCCACCCCACAAAAAAAGAAGTTAAATTTAGCCTCTGCGTATTTAGTTATTTACGATCATTCTAGCTTACTATTGCAAATGTGTAGGTGGTTGGAAGTTGGGGGAAGAAATTTGCATCCACGCCTAAGTATAAAGCGATGGAGAAATATACCAAACAAGTAAAACAGTGCATTGACATAGCCCTCAATTGCGTTGACACTGACGTGTCGAACAGACCTACTGCAAAAGATATAATCCGAGTGCTTATTGGAGTAGACCAGGTATGTTCGGAATTGTATATGATGTTCTAATCAACTTATTTTTGTGAAAGCTCTTATAATAATAATTTACACTACAACAATCCTAGCATATTTATATGTGCATGCATAAAATTGTCATTTGTTACTTTTCCTTTTCCTTTTTATGAAAAGAAGTCCAAGATTCAAGATATATGAAATCAAGGGGATACTTAATTCTGATTCTTTTTTTATTTCATTTTCGAAGGTGTTAGTCACGGCGGTAGAGCTGTTGCCTTGCCGCAGCGGTAGAGCCAAGGTCACGGGTTAGAATCCTGCAAATAGCCTCTTGCAGAAATGCATGAAAATTAAAGTATGCGTACAAAAGACCCAAAATGGTCATACCCTTGCCTAGACCCTGCACAAGCGGGCGCTACCTGCACCGGGCTGCCTTCGAGAGTGTTAGTCACACCAGTTGTGGGTGTGTAATTAATTAATTTTACAATGAGATCCATTTAGAGACTTTTAATTTGTCAATCACCAGGAGGTTTTGTCACCAACCACTCTGTCAGACTACTTGAGAGCAGGTTAACAAGACCCATTAAGTAAAGGAGTATATCTCTATTGGGTACTTGTGAATATTGCTTTCCTGCAAAAGTATATACTAGCTCACTTTAATAGAAGTATATTCTTTTTTGAGGTGATGAAGTATACATTACTAATCAAAGTAGTGCAAGTTATACTTTATAGCAAACTTACAGTTTATTTTTTGTGTACAATATATACTACTAACAAAGGTTGTGTGACACTATTTCCATTTGACATTAATACACAAAACTTTCATATGTTTCTCTTCTAACAAAGGGGTGTGTTGATAAAGAAGTGGAGTATATAGCCAAATAAAGGCGTACGTTCATACAAAAGTCGCAGTATATACCCAGAAATTCACCTTTGATCCCGGGATCATATGCTCCCTTTATCCAAAAAACACAATTCGAGTTGTTAAATAAGTCTGAATTTTGTCTTTCTTACATTGCTCCAAATAACAGTCGTGTTTCCGTGGAACGACTTTGTGTGCCTGTAGCCCATTGAGGTGAACACATCAAACTTTTTACCATATAAACATTTCACGAAAAAGGGTTTCCCCCCGCTTTAGATTATAAAGCATATTTGTTAACATTTCAAAGTGTGTTTAAAAATGCACTTTAAATAAAGGGAGCATATGCTAACTCATGGGTGCCAACGCCCCTCACCTAAATTAGCAAGGAGCCAAGGAGTATATATCATTTCTTAGAATAATGTAGTATTCTCTCTTATCATTGTAATTACTTGGCATGTATGTACACAATGTCAGAGGGGAGTACGAACATAAAAACAGCAGCAGAGCTTTATAGGACTCTGCAATAAAAAATGTTAAAGTAAAGGAACAAGTCTTAAATCCTTTTTTAGTAGACTTTTTTTTCCTTGTTAATGTTGTCTTATTTTGAGGCTAACAGTTTTTCCTCTGTTTTCATGTTTCAGAACGTCCATTCTGATGACGAACAGCTGAGGCGGTAATATCTTCTCTACGTCTGGGAGATGACCAAGATAGGTAATTTGCTCTCTTACCTCGATCGTACTCCAGCACCAAGATATATATTTTCCTGTATGAGGCAACTGATTGATCATGTGTTCAGAAACAGCAGTGGAGTTTTCTCCGGACACACCAAGGAAACTGATGGTGGTGCATGAAGCCATTTGTACTCAGGATCAGGTGGGAACTGTATGTCGCTGTCCAAATTAACATCATCCACGTTTCTGAACGTGAACGAAGAAACTTGTGCAACAGTGTCACACTTGGAGCGGGGAAGATCCACTGTCGCTCTACATGCAAAAAGGAAACATTCTTTTTTCGATCTCTGTATAACTGCACAAACACTCTTTCGTCCGCACTCCTTAGCGGTGCATGACCGTGTATTCGAGTACCACTGTTCCCCATTTCACTCTCCATACGCCATTCTTGTGTGTCATTCCTTCTCGGCTTCATCATGCCCTATCCATGGATATCGTACATCGAATTCACAGGGAGGATGGGGAATTGCTTAATTGGAGATGAATAGATCGCATGTTGCATAACTGTTTTGCAAGTAGTCGGTAAAGCAAAAGATAGGGGCTCCCGCTCCCGCTAGGGTTTCCTCCCGCCGCCGCCGCCGCCCTCCTCCACTCCCGCCGCCGGCGGGCGCGCCCCGGCTCCCCCTCCCCTCCCCTCCCCCGTACCCCCCGCGTCGCCTCCCCAAGCGAGGCGACCGGGGCTCCCCTTCCCTGCCCCTCCCAGCGGCCCCCCTCCTCCTATCCCCTCCCGCCGCCGCCGGCGTAGGCCACCAGGCCTGGCTCGCGTGATACCGGCGACGGCGGCCCCGTTCTTTTCCTCCACGCGCGGCGCTGTAGCTCAGGCGATGGCGCCGGCGGCGGTGCACCCAGGCCGGCGTCGGATCCGGTGGTGGCTCGTCTTCGCAGGCGTCGCAGCTCCGGGGTGGCAAGGTGGCGGTGGTGTGGCTGCTTGGCTGCGGGGCGGCGCAATGGCTGGCGGCGGCGCCCTTCCGGCCCAGATCTGGGCCCTTTTGGGCCCCATCTGGGTCTGGGTGGGCCTGGCGTGTGCTTTCCGGCGTCATCTCCGGCGGACGGAGGTGTGGCTTGGGCTTGGGGTGGCGGAGACGGTGGCGCGTGTACTGCAGCGCAGCGACGGGAGCTTCACGAGCCCGCTTCGGGCTCGGCCGGGCAGGGGTGCCTGGTTTGCTCCTGAGCTACGTCCGGTCAGTCACCGCCGAGGGTGGTGGAGGTTGTCCCCTCCCACGTGGCCGCTGACCCTGCTGCTCCTCGTTTCCGGCTGGTTCCTCTCGATACCGCCGGTCTCGCTTCGCTTGTCACGGTGAGACGACGATGGTGACTGCGAGTCCGTGGTGGCGCATATTGGTGGACGGCAAGTATGGTGGAGCGCGATGGATCGTCTGGGGTCGTGGTTGGTTGGAGGTTGGGAGAAATCCTTGTCGGCTTGTTCGGCACCGACGCGGTGACGCCCGTGGGCGCCGCCGTGCCTTCCTGAAGGGTGTCGGACATCCCCCTTCCCTCCCACGGCCCTTCGCGTACCGGGGGAAACCCTAGGCCATGTCCGGTAGCAGCGTCGTTGTCGTCGCGTTCCTTCTTGAAGGTGTTACTTGGTATGCGGCGTTTCGTGGTGCTAGGAGCGTGGTGGAATTCTCCGGCGGGCGCAGCGGTTGCGAGTCATCTTCGTTTTCGTTGATCCGCTGTTGTCGACATTTTTTTCCTTTTTTGTTTTCTCTTTCTTTTCTTTTGGGCGTGCCTGTGCTGCTTCCGCCCCAGCACCTATCATTGGTTGTATCGATGTTGTTGCTTTGTAATACAAAGCGGGGGAAACCCTTTTTCGGTAACTGTTTTGCATGCCACAGTTTTACATCACTCTTTAATATTACAGGGGATGGTTTGTTTAGCGTACCTGTGTTAACACGCAATCGAAAAAATAAACTCCCAGGTCCCAACTGTCCCCATATTTTAGTGCTCATGTAGCGCGGTTACCCTGAGCAGGACCTGTCAGCCATCAAATGCATCACCCCTAACCACAAGTTGTCAGGTTTTAAATTGTGAGGTCTACTCTGCTTGGTCTACTTAATTGCAGCTAAATTTCAAAGTCAATGGATCTCTCGTGTACTTAACGTTTCCGCTTGGCTCTGTCTTCATTTTTGTGTACATGAGGTAGTTGGAGTAACTACTTTAAAGATCTTACAGTTAATCTGATTTTTGTGGTGTTCCTTTTAAAGGATGTTTAGAGTGTTTATGCATATATCTCGTGTATTAAATTAAATATCTCTTTTTTTTGACAAGGGGAATGGCCGCTTGTAGTTAGAACATAGAAGAAGGGGAGCCATTTTGCTCATTGTTTTGATCATAGGTACGTGGGCACTTGAGTGTGTTCGTGCACTTTGAGTATCGAGTCTTAAAGTTCCCACTAGTAGAAAACAGGGCTTTGGGCCTAGCCAGATAAGAGCATTAGTCCGGTCGTGTTACGAACCGGGACTAATTTTTTTTGATAAAGGACATTTCATTGAATAGATATATCGAGGTGATACAATCGCATCGAAATAAAGCCTGGCCTCTGCATAGCTAGATGCACACAGCCAAAAAAGTCCAAAGTATCCTAAAAGCAAAAAATTAAGGACAGTATAACCGCACCTAAAGCGAATCCTCACAGCGATTTGCATTCCTGGTCATTCGTTTTCCTATATAGGCATTTCTGGCCGTTTGATCTCCTTGTACAACCACTCTCCCGAAACAGGCCCAGACATCCTATGGACTGCTACTCCAGAGGCCGAAACGGAGCTCCGTGGTAAACTGGGCCGTCGGCTAGCCCAGTCCAGCCCAGCTGCGGCTCGCAGAAAAACAAAAACAGCCCCGATGCGAGGCGCACAGAGGAGCGGCGCTCGATTGGATCGGGATCGAGGCAAGGCCATGCGTGCGTTGTTGATTGATCGGAGCCGCGGGATGCGACTCGCCCAAGGGGTTCCGGCGAGCTCCACGGAGGTGCGTACACAAAGATGTCAGCCGGACGCAGGCTCTGGTCAGGTGCGTGCGCGTGGAGGTCGGACGGCTTCAAACTCCGTCGAGGTTGGTGCAAGGAGGTGGACAGCCTGCCGGCGGTGAGCTCCGTCCATGTTCGTGCGCGAGAAGGATACCAATCATCTTCGAGTTCCAGCGAGCTCCGTGTTCCCCTTTCTCGTTCTCATTGCTTTACATTTAAATTTTTCTGGACGTGAAATAGGGATAGATCTTGATCTGTGCTTATTTGTATTCAATGGAATTTTCTTTTCTTTTCTTACAGTGTCGAACCGCAAAAGAATCCAGCCTCTTGATTGGATTTGTGCTCTTGTTCATCTTAGGAATTGTCTTGTGCTATTGCAGGCTGTAAACATTCATGAGGAAGAGAGGCAAGATCAGAGAAAGAAGAACCATAATCAGTATTTAAAGTTCTCAGGTGCAGGTAACGAACCATTCGATTTGCATCTCCAGAAAGTTGCCAGTAGGAATAAAACAAATCCTCCGGCGACCTAAATTTCTCAAGCATGTATCTCAGGGTAGCAACCAAAGAGCCCTGAAATCCTTGCTAAGCTGATGGTGCACGACACCTATTTGATGAAATAACTAGCTGCAGAAAAAGACATGCACAATTATTTTCTTATTTGAGAGTTTGTTTTCATTTCTCCCTATTCATGCCCAAGTTGTTGTCGTGTTGACGCGTGAGAATAGAAGAGTGGGGGCAATGGCCGCAGAAACTATGCAACTACGAGTCCAAGTAAATATTCACTTGTGGAGGGTTTAGAAGGCGAGTCTTCTGGCTTATTTACTTCCATACTTCTTCTAAAATCAAATGGAATAGATCTTAGACTGCAAGCACATTTAATCACTGTTGTGTTGTATCTATATCTTTGTTTGATAGGAACTTATATGAAGGCCTTTTCTCCTGAGATGGCATGGGGATAAAGGTGTAAAGGCTGATGGTGAAGCTGAAGCCTGAAGGCATAATGGTTAATGATCAGGCAGAAGGTGTGATGGTTGATAACAAAGGTGTGGATTAACGTGAACATAAGCATGGATAGTCTATTCGTACTGTGCTTTGAGGAACTTGCATTAGCCTTATTTATAAGAAATGCAGATGCAGAGATTCATCATATAGATAGAATCTTTCTTATACTGGTTGCATGGTACCTTTTTTCTCGCATATGGAATAGAGGTACTTCCTTATTGCTGCTAAGAAAAATGGCAACAAAGGCCATTAAGTAGATCAAGCAAGGCGAAACGTCATCGTCCTTAAGTTGCTGCCTTCAATACTTCAATAGTTACGTGTTTATTGTAGTGATCTGCACTTATTTGTACTACATTGTGACCATGAATTCTCTTCTTCTGAGATATTGGTAGTTTCTTGATTTTAGTAGGATTGCTTATCCACTAGGCTGTGAGCATCTTTAATTCAGATTGTGGGTTGAATTAGCAAAGTATGTTTCTTAAGCTTTACATCGGTTCTCCCAAAATACGACTGCCTCTGTAAAGAAATATAAACTGTCTTATATTTCTTCACAGAGGGAGTACATGGATTGCTACCATATTTTCTCTTTCCATTACCCTCTCCATCAGTTCAGTCCAACTCAGCGAAATCTGTTTTCTTTTGCTGCAGCCTGCAGGTTATGCTATATAGGTTTGGGCTGACTATTTTAAATGGCTACCAATCAGGTTAGGTAACATGCAATAGGGAAAATGGAGGATTGTCTAAGTGAAGATACATCCCTTCAGCTATTATGCTCTTTCGAGTACTATAAAAGCAGTTCAAAATCAGTTAAACCAAATCAAAATGCATTGGCCAAAACGATTGGGTAGGGATATTATATGCATAGTTCTTGAATCATGGTAAGCGGCATATATCCCTATACATTGATGTTAATTTTAAATCAACTAGAGTGGCATAGTTAATAATATAGATTTTTTAAGCCTTCTTTAATTCCTTTTTTTAA